TACAGGCAGAAAATGTACATGCCAGTTTTGTAAGGGTTATTAGGATCGTAGCAGAACTCCGTATCTAAAAGCATATGTGTTGGAAAGGGCTCCTGAAAGTGTATCACATGTGTCATCTTTGGATAATGTTTTCATTTCAACTGTTGTTTGAACAAGCTGTTGCAAAATGGAAGTTTATTGCAAAGTTGTGGTTTGTGCATCTTCAGTGATAAAAACTGTGCAGAAAGTAATGTTGTGGGATATAAGTAGCAATGAGTATTACTGATACAGAAAACCTTTATCATTTGAATTGCTAGATTTATGCATGAGTTTTAGAATTCGCCTTGTTTTTTATTTTTATTAAGAATTTCAATTCTGAATTAAGGATCTGACGTTTAAGTTATTTTTCTATTGGAAATAGAATGTATATTTTTGTCATGAAGTCCAAATTTGAACTTCTAACATGCACAAAAGTCATCACTCTCACTCAAAAAGATAAAAAAGGTATTTCCTACCTGTAGAAAACAATACCTATAGGCATATTTGTGTATGGTAAGGGATCATTTTAAAATACAAATTTAAAATGTGACATATGTATATGTTATAAAATTGTAAACACTTCACACAAATTGCAAAGCAAACCAAGTGAACTCTCTTAAAGCTACCTTATAAACCAAACTGCCTAATGGAATAGTTAGGGGAATTAAAAAAAGTATATTATTTTTGTTTTCTTCATGGACTTCATTGAGCAGTGAGCTGAGAGCTGGAGCAGAGAGTTCACATTCAGTTGTTCACCAGGAAACAAAATAACTGAAGAGACGCAGGTTGAGTGTCAGAGGGGAGAAGTTTTATGGAAACATCTTTGCCCCTTTCTGAGCTAGGGCAAAACCCACCCGCTTAGCTGGACAAGGTTTTCAGCGTTAATGGGTAGGTCCTACAGATTATGCCATAGCAACTGCAGTGAGAGTCTCATGACCTGCAAAGGTCAGTAAATCACTTCAGCTGGCCTTGCTTTGGAAGCTAGAACCTGTTAGATTTGAACTTGTGTGATGTCATCCTGAGCTGTGCCTTGATTTTGGTACACAAAGCTGAAATGAGGCAGTACTAATTAGATAAATAAGTCTTGAATTTTAACATGCTGCTGACACAAACATAAGGCAAACAACCAGAAATATGTGAAAACAACTTCAAAGCAGAATTGAAACAATGTAAGGAGGCGACAAGAGCATTGATATTACAGAGCCCAAAGCAATACTTAATTAGCTTGCTTTATTTTTTCCTTGGGCTCTATTTCAAAATAAATTCAGGCTTCAGTAGGAACTTGAAATGAACCATTTATTTACTTCTGTGGAGTCTTGAGGAAAAGGGAGACTTAAAGACAGGAATTTAACAGAGATGAAATAAGGACTTTCTGTGTGGAAAAATAACAGACAGATACAGTACAACAGTACGGTATTAATAAATAATAATAAATTAACCTCTTGCACGTGAGTTACAATGTGAGCATTTCAACCTGACCCTGACTCAGGTTGAATCACAGCTACAGTTTTCTGGGAGGAGGTTGATACCACCATGGTCTCCTGCTTCCAGCTGTGCTCTGCTGAGCTGCGCAGCAGAAGCCGGTGTGTCCCTGGTCCTGGGCAGGATGGACTCACTCATGCACTTGTTTGGCCTCTGCTTGGCTCTGTTGTACTCCGTGGGCTTGGCCCAAGTGGAAATCAGAGCAACTGTGAGCCTATTCTCAATAATACTTGCCTCCAGAAATAGCAAGAGGACTATAATCCCACAGCTGCATCTAACCATCCACATGTATTTTATACAGTGATTACAGTTTGGAAGTATATAGATGCATTCAGGCATTAACAGTTACATTTCTGATTTCTGCATGGAGATATTATTTGTTAGTTCTGTGCTGTAAGTACAAATAAAAGAGTAGTCTTCTTTGTGCTTTGTATATACACGCAATTTGCATTTCCTGTGCTTTGCACAGTTGAATACTTGGCATTTCTGTCTCAAACATAAAACTGTAAGTAACGGTGTTTTGAATTCTGTGGATTGAAAACAATAAGCTGATATCAAAAGCCCATTTGGAGAAGTGCAATTTTCTGATTTTAGAAGCCAGGAAAACCCAATTCTGGCCCCACTGCAGTGACAAATATGCACTTAGCTCCATGTACTTTCTGTGGGAGTTAAACTGTATAATAACCTTACAATTATGATCTTTGAAGATGTTCTGCATTAAGCATTTAGAATGGTGGCAGGAAACATTAATTCATAGGGGGATGTATGTGTCTCCTTATACATCCCCATGGATGAAGAGCTTATTTGTGTCAGGAAGCTTTCCAAATGATGGAATTATGTGAACTGAGGTTCTTTCCAAAAGCTGCGATACTGGCAGAATTGAGCCCAGCTGGATGCTAGTAACTTCTCTCTCATTTTCTAGAAGTTTTCTTGTTAGCTTGTTATGCATTATATACTCTAGAATTGTTTTGTATTACGAATACTGAAAACACTGTAAATCTAGGGAATATTTTTAAAATTGACATACTACATCAGCTGGTGGCCAGCTAGGTGAGGAGAAGTGGGAAATGAAACCTGTCATTTTTCAATCATCTGTTTGTTAAATTCAGCGATGGAGAACCATCACTTTGTGATGGTAGTTGGTGGCCTGTATAAAGTGGATCTTACTCCATCACTCAGGATCTCACTCCACAGACGCTTGGTGGCAAAAACAAAGAAATAAAAATCTGTTCCCTCTTCTCGCAGACAGTCTGAACAGTGAGGCCACGTGCTGCGGGCGGGCAGGAGGGTGCTGCGGGCGGGCAGGAGGGTGCTGCGGGCGGGCAGGAGGGTGCAGGGTGCACTGGCTGCACAAGGCAGTTTCTCAGGCCAGGGGTCCACCCCAGCGCACATCTGCTGGTGTCATTGCTGGCCCCCTCCTGCTCTCTCTCTCACAAGAATTGTTTTCTATCTCCACTAAGTGTTTCAAAAGCACAGAATCTTTATGCTTACGTTAAAAAAAATACATGGGAAACAACATAAAAAACCCCAAACTAGAAGTTTAATCTCTATGTGTTAACATACAGCTTGCCGTTCTGCAGGTGTATTATTCTTTTAATGCCTGAAATGCAAAATACTGAGGAACCTTCCTTTATTGCACTCAGGTTGACATGTATCCTGGTCCTTTTGCAGTCTGGCATAATATTTCATAGAACAACAAGAAGTCTGTTTTCCTGTAATGGGAATTCACAAATGGCAGCAGTTCAGTGTGTTTCCTTTGTAGATGTTGGCACCTCTGAGAACTTTCCATATTGAAAACTCTGTAATTTAGAATGTTAGTAAATGCTATTTATTAAAACGGTGTATTTTATGAAGGCTCACAAGTTGTATAACGTGTTCTGGACTTTTGCAGATGTAACTCATTACTATAGAGACATTAAAATTAAATAGTCTATGAACTATGATTTAATATCACTTTCTTTTGTCATACTTTATCAAAATACCATCAGAATCTGTTTTTTTTTTCATTAATTCGGTCCTAATAGTCTTTGTACTTGAACATTTTCAATGTTTAATACAGTTCATATCATAAAATTTCTAAGTATTTCTATCACTATTTTAAAAAATAGTCATTCTTTTATCAGAATTTTCTTTCTTCTGTTTTTTAACAATCTAAAATTGCTGTACTGCAATGCACTTCAGGGAAATATGCTAACAGTTGTGGATTTTAGTTTCAGGATGCCTGTTCATAGTTCATACACACTCTCAGGTGTTTGTTGTAGGGAGTAGAGTCCTGTTTTCAGAATTCTTGGTAGCACAGCATTGGCCTGATACACAGAGTGATGTTAAGACAGAGTCTGGTAACTGTGAGAAGTAAGTGAACGTGCCCAAAATATAACCTGGTTTTTCAAATCAGTTCAACACAACTTATGCCATAGGTTTCAAATGGGATGTAAGTAGTTTTTAAGAGGTTGCTGTTATGTAGATGTTGTACTTGCTTTGATGATAAAATTTGATTCCTTTTGTTCAGAGTGACAATAGGTCACTTATGCCAATCATTTCTTACGTCCATTTTGTCAGTGTTGCTCATACCAGAACCCCACTGTACCAGCCCACTCCCATCCCATGTTCTTTATAGCTGAGCTTGTTTTACTGCTGGCAACTAATACGGCTCATGGCCACAAGGACTGCAGTTAAATAGCTTAAAATGCGATGAGCTCTTGTAGACAACACGTAGGCAAGGAGCATTTGAATACTGGCTCTGGCACAAAGTTCCTCTTTAGGCACAGATGGGACATTTAATCTCTCACCTTGCGATTGCCATCTGTAAAATGAAGTAATACCTGCCTACCTGTCTTGTAGGAGCACAGGTGATTGACTCATGCTTGTGAAGTGATAGATGAATGCATTGAATGCCCAACGGAGCTATCTGATCTCCAGATATATGGAGAATTGTTCTTGGAAAAAACTAAAAATATTAGGAGCTGTGTTCATGTGTGCAGTGTGGTACCATAATCAACTCCTGTAACTGAAATTAGGGATATCATATGTCAAGATGTTGCTGGAGTCTTTCAGAGTCCTCCTGGTGACTTTGAGAAACTTGAGCCATTCTAAAGGCAAATATATTGCTTTCCAAAAATATTTTTGTGATCCCCAGTGCAAAGTCTCACATGTTTCTGAGTGCTCTCCAGCCCTTAACCCTGTCTGCCTTTGGGATTTATTGGCTTCTTTCAGTGGGCCAAACCTGCAGCATGACAGCAACAACACCTGGCATGAATTTGTTGAAGTCATCGGTATTCACTGGTAGCCTTCAAAACAGGAAAATCACCCCTTTTGTCTACTTACACACATTTCATGGTATGGTTTTAACAAGATTTCAAGGATGCTGCTGTCCTGTATAAAATGGGATGAATTAGGCCCTTGTTGTGTTAGGTTCACTGAAACCACAGGACTATTACTGTGTGATTATTTTTTGTGTGTGTGTGCAGCATATTATGACATACATATTTTGCTTCTTTTAGAAGACAAAGGGAAAGCAAAACCCAGTAGTGCAAGTCAGCAGTCCAGTACTGAAGTGAGTCCTTTTCTTCCCAAACCTGGAGTGGCAGCAGTGGCACCTGTAACACCTGCATCATCTTCCAAGAGCACAAATGGAGCTCCTAACACAGTTTCTGAGTCAGAAGAGGAAAAAGCCAAAAAACTACTTTACTGTTCATTATGCAAAGTGGCTGTGAATTCCCTGTCACAACTAGAAGCCCACAATACAGGTGAGTATGCATACAGCGCAAGTGAATTGTGTGTTATTATTTTTAAAATTCAGTGTAACAAGCTGGTTTTCTGACACTGTGGTAATCACACTTCACTGAAGAGTCTTTTAGTTAAAATTTACAACGGCAAGTTACAAAAACTTTTGTGTTAATGACGGTTTCATGTGTGGTGTTTGATACTTTATTGAAGCTCTCTCTAAATTTTTTTGAACTGTCCTTCATGTTCTCTGTAAGCTTTTAGTTGACAAAATCCCTACAGTTCATGTTACCTAATCAAATTTCATCGTACCTCCATAGTGAGGATCATAGTGGCCTGTAACAATAAGGTTTCTAAATTGTCAGTTCACTCTCTCTTTCATATTTCATCTCACTATCTATGGTGTCTGATTATTTTGCTGGTGCAATTTATAGTAATTTTTGTGATTTGATATTTTTGATAATTTATGGTGGGCTCCTTAGGTTTCCTAGATGTCCTAGAATATTTTGATTATTGCAGGTTAGATATTTGCCCTTTAAAGGCCACAAGCAACAATCCCTAATGTGCTCTGGCTGCTCTGTGATGTGCTGGTGATGTAAAGCTTGTTAACAAATCATTGAAACTGGTTTGACAACTGTAATCCATTCTTGAAATGGCCAAAGCAGCCGTTTCTTCCAAATTAGAGGATACTTACTGAAGTATTCCTGTTCCTAGGCCGGTTTTGAGTGATTGCTGTGGTTCCTGTGTCATTCTTGGCTAATGCCCTTTTTCATGATTCACCAGCTATATGGATTTTGGCAGAAGAATAAGCAATAAATACTTTGGCCATACAGTCACGCACTGCCCCCACACAGAGAGGCAGTGGTCCAGCGTGCCTGTTGTTCCCTTTTTATACAAACCTTTCTTCCATTGTCTGGCTTCCTTTTAGATTGAGGAAGTGGGAACTACACTGACCAAAACCAGAGTCGTCATTAACCCAGACCTGTGGTGATTCTAACCATTCTGTCTTGAAGATAAATGTGTTTCATAATGTCCCAAGACTAATGGGTGTGGTTGTGTGTTGCTGATCATTAACTCACCCATGTCTGCTTGCCCATTAGGTTCCAAGCACAAGACCATGGTCGAGGCTCGGAATGGTGCTGGTCCCATCAAGTCTTACCCTAGACCTGGATCCCGCCTGAAGATGCAGAATGGCAGTAAAGGCTCAGGACTGCAGAACAAGACGTTTCATTGTGAAATCTGTGATGTCCATGTTAACTCAGAAATTCAACTTAAACAGGTAGCTTGCATGCATCTGGGGCTCCTTTGTTGGTTTTAGTTGCATTGCATTTTAAGTGCGATGTAGGTCTGTGTGAAGATATTTTGGCAAAAAGTGAACTTAGTATTTCGTGTCATCCCACAACTATTTCTAAATAGTTCATCATAAGTCAAGTTCATCTAACTGTTTCCGCTGGGAAAACACGGTCTTGAGAGTCACAGACAAGGTGTCAGTATCAATGAATAACATAGCAGGTCTAGTTTAAAAGTTTGCTGTGGCTCAGGAGAGACATTTGAACTTTGATCTTCCAAATGGAAGAAATTCTGGGTTGAGGTTCCCTGAATTCCTCTTTCGGTGCTGTTTCAGACTTCTGGGATACTTTTTAATACTGTGTGAGAATAAGAATGTGACTCGAATCTATTGGTTTAGGACAACTGGCAGGAGGGTAATACTGTAGATATATCTGAATTGTGTTGAGCAACGCTATCATTAACAGCATAGCTGTATAAACGTGCAGCTCTGCTCTGTCCGAGCCAATTAACCCTGGGTTCAGAGCTGTGCCAATACAGATATGTTGTTTCTGATACCCAAATGGGAATCTCTAACTGGACGGTGCTGTGCTCTGTGTCATCTCATTCCCTGTTATTTCAGTTCTCTCTAAGAGAGTATTAAATTGCATCGTGTAGACATATCCCTGGGTACTGGTTCTTCCTTAAACGAATATTGAATTATTTATGCAACTGAACATCATCAGCAAAACTAAAAATTCGCCTCCTACTTCTGAATATCCCTATGACCTAGTGATTACAGCTCTGCCTGGTTCAAAGCTCTTCAAGTGGAAAAAGGAAAGACTAACCAAAATATCAATAATTTGCAGAGCCTGTCTCGGATCACAGAATTCGCAGTGTTTGATTAGTTTCTGATTCTCTGTTTGATGTGCTCCAAATTGTTATGTTTAATTTAGCAAAACTCATCTTTTCTCTCTCTAAAGAACCTACTTTATCTTACAAACCAGGGGCTTAGGCATATCCTGCTGATAAATCAATTTCAAACTCAAAACTGAGAAATGTTTAAACAGCTAATTAAATGTGAGGATATTTGTTTCAGCACATTTCCAGCCGAAGGCATAAGGACAGAGTTGCAGGAAAGCCTATGAAACCTAAATATAGTCCTTACAACAAACTGCAGCGCAGCCCAAGTATTTTAGCAGTAAGTATTTTTATTTCTCATCACTGTCTGTGAATTTATGACCTTGGGGACTCCCACCACACAGAGACAGGAACATGACAGACCTGATGCTTCCACAGCATTTCTCCCCTGAAGGCTGAGCCTACATGGGGATCAGATTTGAAAATAGTTATGCATTCTGTCTGCCCAGTCGAAGGCATGCAGACAGCACTGCGAGTGTTATTTACTGCTAGGAAGAAGGGAATAATCAGTGGAATGGGAATGAACCGTGCGCCCCATGGAAAGGTATCGGCTCTGCTGGTCTAGTGCACTTCTTGAAGGCTGTGATGTATACACTCTGTCTTTCTGTGCACCTGATGCCACTCTCAGTTATGATGGATGCAGTCAGGGAAGAGGACATAAGATGTTAAGATATAAAAATAGGAATGCTGATTCTCTGCATACAACAAAACAGAGTGCTGTGTGGATGTATTATGTTGGCGCAAGAGTTATCAGGTGTTTGGGAGAACAGACTGCCTATCTGCATGCTTGGGCTATCAAAACACCTCTCCTGGTTTTGTGCCCCCAGCGTGTCCCCTTTCACACCCACCTGCATTTCCAGGAATTCCCCAAGCTGGTTCTGCCAGTCAGCTGCAGCCGGAATTCAGGCTGGCTCTAGCACAGCACAGATTGTATGTTTATTTGCTCATGACTCAGCCTGTATTTTATTCATTAGGGAAAAGTGCATGCCACCTATGGCACAAAAATGATTTATAGGTTGGAAAGAGAAAGATGCAAAGGTGTGTGCACAAGAGCAAGCATGTGAAAAGCCTTTAAAAGCTGAAATATTAATATGTCTTTTTTAGTTGTATAGAGGCAAATGAAAATGCTGCAGGCTTTCTCTAAGTCTCCCCATTCTGTAGGTTCTGCATAAACTAATCTCCTTCACTTGTGTAATACACCATTTTATAATCTGTTGCATAAGGAGAGCCCTCCACTAATAAAGGAAGGACATGAGTATCTTTGCCCCCACAAATGTGTGATTGTGGTACAGACCATTTTCAGTGAGACTGTAGTGTGTATATTTCTGATTCGCTTTTTCAACACAAGCATCAGCAATGATTGTAGATCATAAACTGAGTAATAATTCTTTCGGAAAGAATTCTTTATGGTACTGATCTTAAAAAGTATTTCTATTTTGGAAAGAGCAGCTCTGAATTGGCAGGTTAAGAGCTGACTGGACCAATATTAGTTTCCCATCTTGACCACTCTACTTTTCTACAATTCATTTTTGCAAGTGGAAAATTTTACTTTTGACACTGAAGTCTTAATCATGTTTTTTTAATCTTTCTTGCACAGTTAAGACTTACATAATTTAATGTTGTTCACCTCCAAGTTATGCTCCCTTCTAAATGTCAGTGTGACTGCCCCTACGCTCAAGAGATTTATGTATCTTTAAATACACGATTTGGTTGGTTTAATCGCCTTGGGAGTAAAAAGATAATGTGGGTAAAATTCCTAAGCAACTGACATGAGTTTTCTGTGAGAAGCCATGGCATGCCCTTTCTCAGGGTTCATTTTTTCCCTCATGTAAAAGTGGGCACGGGGAGAACTGTGTTTACATTGCTTTGTGTGTGTGCTTTATTCCAGGCAAAACTCGCATTCCAGAAGGACATGATTAAGCCGCTGGCACCTGCTTTCCTTTCGTCTCCCCTGGCTGCGGCCGCAGCTGTGTCATCGGCTCTGTCCCTCCCGCCCCGGCCCGCTGCCTCCCTCTTCCAGGCCCCTGCAATACCCCCGGCTCTCCTCAGGCCGGGCCATGGTCCCATCCGGGCAACACCTGCCTCCATACTTTTTGCACCATACTAACTTATTGATGTAAAAAAGAGATACTTACGGCCAGTAGAAAGAGTACAACAAAAACAGGAAAAGGGTCGAGATTTTAAAATGTCTTTCTCTTTCGAAATGCCATCCAGCGTTGACACCTCAACCACCCACACCATAAAATTCATCATTGACAGTACTGCATTTTGGAGTCTAGACAACTCTCTCAGTCTCTCTCTGTCTCTTCTTTTTTAACCCAAATACAGAGTGATTTAGTAAAAACTTAATTGCTCATAAAATTTATACCATTAAAGATTCATACCTTTTTTTTTTTTTTTTCCTCAATGTCTATGATGCACCTTGGAATCAAGGAACGTAAAGTACTTTCCTGACAGACTTGAAAACTAGGGTCTTCCTCACTCACGCTTATGTAAATACTTCTCTGAAAACCAATGGGGTATACTCCTAAATGTGGGAAAAAAGGTAGATGAACCAAATGCTTGATTGTGGATCACATCTCAAAAATTAATTGCGTCTTTCTTTTTTCCATGTGCTCTTGTTGACAGGGATTGTGTACTGTCCTAGGCCCCAGTACTGGTGTATCTTGTGTAGTACTAAAGATGTATCACATGTCTGATTTTAATATTTTTAGTTTCTGTGCAAATGTTTGAAAGCAATGCAGTGCTGAAGCTTTTAATTATTTCTTCTGTGTCACACTTTATTTAGAGAAATTACAAATAGAAAGCCATATAACATATAGTTAAGAATACTACTTGTTTGCTACTTTCATTTAACTTATTTTTGTTGTTTACTCACTGGTGTTGCTAAGCAATATTTAAAGAGAAAAAAAGCTTTTCAATTGCACATTACCACAGCTCACATGCATTGTTCAAGAAGACAATGTTTCCATGTATTTGTACGTAAATATAATTTTTTCTTAATTTCTAACTAGCTTCCTTTGTAATGATGCTGCATAACGTTGTGGCTCCCTAATGCAATAATGTACAGAACATAAAATATTTATAATTGACCGTATTCTCTGTTTACTGAATATATTGCAGTAATTCCCCACCTATCTTCTTACCTCCCCAACCCTTTTATAAAGGTGATATCAATATGCAGCACTCAGACTGAAGTCATTGTGTGATAATGAGGACAACAGGTGGAAGAAAGGAGAAAAAAAAAAAAAAACAGAATTAACTTTTAGAGCATCTTTATCTGCAATCCATAATAGTAAAATGTCTGTGTATTTTTTTAAATGTACCTTTTCAATAAAACAATAAGAAAAATATACCTGCTTCTTGTGTTTATTAATTGGTACAGAAAAAAAAAAGAAGTCTGGAACAAACAAATTGAGCTAAAGGAGTCTTCAGGAGCAAACAAAGCACTAGGGTTGCAATAAAGTATAATTACAGAACCTGTGTTTACTTCCCTTGTGTTTTAACATCTTTTTCTCGCTACATCGTTACAGCCTTTACTGGGGCTTTTTTGCAGTAAGACTGTAAACATCGGAGATTCAGAGGAAGAAGCAGTAGAGCCAGGTGGGTGACTAGGGTTTTACTATTGCACCACCAAAATGCTGCAACATGGTTATGCCATGGAGATTAAGGATTAACTTTAAAACTAATTTGGGCATACCTGGGACTGGAAACAGGTCACTTTGGATCCAAGACTTGCTTTGAAGCATGGGCAAAGGAGGCAGCTGCTTGATGCAGTAGGCTTTTGAAGGCAGGTGTTTGGGGAAGCTTTGAAGTTATATTTTTCCCTGATGAAAATCTTGATCTGTTCTGTAAAAATCTTTTATTTGTTAATATAAAGTGAAAAGTAAAGAGTACAAGAGTAAAAAGACTCAACTGTAAGGCTGTTAGGGTTAATAGAAAGCCGACAGGACCATTACAAAGACCAAGGAATACAAATTTCAGGAACTTAGTATTAGAGAATTTACAGTCCAACATACACCTCATAGATGCAACATATTAGACACCATTTCCTGCAAGTGTGTCTGCCCAACTTCCACTATTCAGTGGAGCAGTTGGCTGTGTTGTGAGAGGATAATTCACTGGAGAATCACCTACAGAGGGGTAGGTAAGGGAGTCCAGGCTTTTACCATCCTCTGGGCAAACAGGTACAGTTGTATTAATCCTGTGGACTCTGAGAATTAAAAGGTAATAACAGGTAGGTGCATCTGTTTGTGTTTGATTTTGTAACTCATGCTTGTAGGGACTCAGGTTTAACTGCTCAGCTACAGGGAGTTACTTGCCTGAGGAGCCTGTTTCTGTCCAATATGAGACAGGTTTACAGAACTGTGTATTTTAAATGGTTCTTCAGAAAACAAGAGTTGTCTATGTATTAAAACACTGTTTTACCTGCTTTTTGTAGCCTACTGTTGGTGATAAGAAACTTAAAGCAATTACAAGTTTCTACAATTGAAAACGTTCCCGTATAAAATGCAGAAAACCTGTACTAAGGAGTTGTCAGGGGTGTGTAAGTTTGTTGGACAGCTGATTATTTCAGCATCTTAAAATGGAGAAATATTTAGGTCACTAAGAATGAAAGAATGTGTCATGTCATTCAGCAATGAGAGGAATTACTTAACCTGTGAAACACAAGGAGCTAAAGGACTATGAGTGTAAGCCAAGGAGGACTCATGTTCAGATTCATAAACAACACCCTTTGTACTCTTTGTTGTGTTAGCTTACATTTTGTGTACTGTAACTCCACTTGCCACCAAAGTTTTATCCATGATACGAAGGACTGAGCATTTGAGATGATAATTACATGACAAATGGAAAACCTTCTCATACACCTGCTGGGATATCACATTTTAGAAATGAGCTCTACATGAGAAGGAATATTTGTATCATACTTGCACAAAGGCTATCAGCTGCTTTTTTGATATGTTAGATTGTTTTCTCCTGAGGTGTAATAGCATTACAGACAGCTGGCTATGAAATTAATGGATTTTTTATAAAAAAGGGCTAGTACTGAAATATAATATTTGCAATGCAGTTACTATTTTGAATAAATATATTGAATGTACAAACCACTAGGGTAATAAGGTTAAAGTAATGGGATCACATCCTCTCACATGTCTGTCACTCTAGGTCTGTTCATTGTGCTCTGAGCTGCAGGTTTTTCCTGTACAAGAAGAAGTCAGAAGTTGTAAGGGGCAGGGGTTGTCACCTGGTACTGCCATCTCTCTGTAACAGAAGAAAAAGGATCCAGACACATCAGCAGGAACTTTCTGCTGGTGCATGTGTCTGGATCATTGTCCCCGCACTGCAGAAGATTTCTATAAAGGGTATCAAACAGGGGAGGTAGTCCAGTAGTCTATACAGATACGTACATTTTAGAAAAAGAATAGAAGTAGGATCATCTATGACTACTGCAGGATACCAGTATGTGTGCCTCTCCTTTCTTCAGATCAAAATGATAATAAAATCTTTCCCTCTGATTTTGGTAAGATAGCAGAAGGAAGAAGACAGAATCTGGCACACACATTGCCCTGTCTGTATCAGCACTTGAACTCCTATGATAATGTTACACTGGGAATTAAAGTCCCTCTACAATAAGTTAATAAATGTTCCCTGTAAAAAAAGATTATTTCGTTAAAAAATAAATTACCTTATTTTACTCCCTTACTCTGTAATTTTGAACTGTAAATTTTATGCTTAGAAAAGTTTTGCAAAATAATTTGTCACGTTTGTCTGAAAAAAAGAGAATATGGATGTCTTAAGCTCTGCAGGAAGTACTTCACTACCCTTATGCATCTGGCAATAATCCACTGAGCCTCACTGTATATCTTTTGAACATTTCACTTTGAATAAGTGGGGTACTGTACTACTTCTTCATGTTTGGTTAGACAGTAAACCTCCACAGCTGTCACCTTCTGGTCACAGTGGTCATGATGATTTTCTTGCTATGGCTAGTATATTTTTTTAAACCTTTATTTTTTTAACATTCTTGTTTCAAGTGACAACCTAAGCATCTTCAAGTACTTATTGGAAGGACCATCATTTCAGGTAAAGCTATATATATTTTTTTCAGTATCTAGAATTCTTAGATATTATAATGGTTTTGGATTAAAGTAACATTGATTTAGAAATGTTTCTATTTGGTTTAGTTTCCTGTTCATATTTATTTGTATTGATAGAGTACTGTGCTACATGCTGAATGCCAAGAGGCAACTCCTGCCAAGCACCAGTAGTGGAGGAGGCCAAATCGAGCCCGTTGCCTTTGGAAGGCTGCAGCTGAGGCAGGTCCCTAGTGACTGGAAAAGGACAATTTTATGCCTGTCTTCAAAAATGGCAAGAAAGAGGATCCAGGCACATGAAAAGAAGTAGGTGGTTGGAATTGGCCAACATGGGTTTATAAAAGGCAAAATTGTGGCTGAGCAGCCCGAGCGCTTTCTGTGAGGAGGTGCCTGTCAGTGCAGAGAGGGGGGAGCAGGGGGTGCCCTTCTGTTGGCTTCTGTAAGGCTTCTGACACGGTCTCTCCTAGAATCCTGGCAGGCAGATGGGGGCAGCATGGACGGGGTGGGTGGCTACAAGGTGGCTGGACGAGCGGCTGGGCCACCAAGCTCGAAGCATTGGGCAATCCCTTGGGTCAGTAGCATGTAATAATCTCACTGGTGACCTGTAAGGTGGGGCGGATAGCACTTGGCAAGTGTGCAAGTTTTAGCACCAGATCAGGGGCCCTCCTTTTCCAGGCAGTATGCTGGAGGGTAAGGCTGATGTCCTGAGGGACCCCAGCAAGCTGGAGATGTGGTTTGACAGGAACCTCACGGGGTTCAGACAAAGGCCAAGTCCTGCGTCAGGGAAGGAGCCACCCCATGCAATATTGCAGACCAGGCCTGCTCACCAGAAAGCAGCTTTGCAGGAAAGGACGCGGGTGGGGTGTGGGGTGTGGGGGGACACCCAAATTTTGTGGTGGACAAATTGAACACAAGTCAGCAGTGCGCCCTTGTGGCAGCAGAGCTTAACTGAATGCTGTGCTGCATCAGCAAAAACAGGGCCAGAAGGTTAAGGGATGTGGCAAAACTCATGTTCAGCACTTTTGAGGCTGCACATGGAGTAGCGTGTCCAGTCTGGGGCCTTCAATATGACAGAGATGTTGGCAAATTGGAGCAAGTTTGGGAGAAGGCCACAAAGGTGGTTAGGAAACAAGCACATTCTGTTCAGGAAAGTGAGATGGGTTTGTTAAGCCTAGAGAAGGCTGTGGCAGTTTTGGCAGCTGTCCTCAAGTGTCACAGGGAAGAGAGATGGACATTTCTTGAAGAAGCTCCATGAGAGGAGATAGCCGGAAGCTGCAGGAAAGAACATTCTGACTGCACATAAGAAAAAAAAAAGGTTTCACAGTAAAAGTAGGTAAGCCCTAGTACAGGTTACTCGGGAAGGTTATTGCAGTATCTACCCTCAGGAAAGATGGACTGGGTTACCTCCAGAAGACCTGTCATCTTAAATAATTCTGTTTAAGTCAATAATTCTAAAAAATAGAAAGATCTGAAAAATCAAAAGTAATCATTGTGTTACAGGGCAATTAGAAGCTCAAGGAAACTTTGAAGCACTAAATACTGACTGACATTCACAACATGGTGGGCACCTGCTATGAAAGCCTGAAAAAATGAAGACAAGCACCTTACCTGTAATAGCTTGAAGAAGGGGAACAGAAAGGAGGATGTACCTGGAAAGGTGAGAGAGTCAAAGTGACGGGGAGGGGAAATTATTGGTACTACAATATTGTGACTGAATTTTGGAGGTGCTGAGGTGGTATTTTTCAGGCCAAAAAGAGACTTTGAAGTAATTGGAATGTGATGTGTTTCAGGCCTTGATGAGTTTTGCTAAAACAAATAAATTTTCCCAAAGTTATTTGTTTAGATTATCTGAAACCATTTAACCAATTTAATGGCTGAAAAACTTCTCACCAATCCTGCTCATATCCTGCATTCACAGCCAAGCAACTTTTAATAGAGCATCAAGGACCACAGCTGACACCTGTTCTGCATTCATCTCTGGGTACATGTGTTTTAGAGCAATGGACCGGTTGGGTTTTAAATTCCATATTTCTTTTGCACCCTATCAGACCTAAAAAGGAAAAATCAATACAAAAATTGTTCATATTTTTTAGACAAGTGTCATGGACTCTTTAAGGGACCTGTTGGCAATACAGTAAAGCAGCATCAAGAGAGTGGATTATAATAGGAAAAAAATACTCTGTGCAACAGACAGCAAGGCTACTGCTGGCTGAATCTGATGAACATCCACTAGTTTATACAGGTAATATTCTGAC